GTGAACTGAACCAGCCACATAGGGGGTTACGGAATCTGCAGCAGGCATCCTGGGAAGAGACACTCAGGAATGATCTGAAATTGCAGTTAAGGGCAGACACTGTATTTTCTCAGTGAAGACTTAAGAAGCAGAGACAGGGTATAAACAGACAAAAGCCCTACCAAGCGGGGCCCCTCCCACCTCTGCCGTGTTTTGCCTGACATGTCTCAGCTGGCCCTGAACGCCGCTGTGTCCGGCCAGCCGGCAGCACACGGGCTGGACAGGCAGGGTTTGTCTGTGGGGAATCGGGCTCTGCAGTTCCACCGCCATTTCCCAGCACATCCCAATGTTTTTACTGGGTGTGGGTCAACTCCTGGTGAAGTTCCCTCTCTCTCTGTTCAGCTCTCAGGCTGGAGTGCCGAGCAGCGCTGAAGCACTCACCCAGGGCTTTAGCTTTGCGGCAGCAGGGGCTTGTGGGAAATGCAGAACCCTAAGGTGTCCCATAGGATCCTGTGTGCATAGTCTTTCCTCAGACAAGAGCTGAAATTAAATAAACACCGGTGTTTGTGCAGGGCTGGGCAAGCACCTTAGAAATCAGGAGGAGATGCTGAGTGAAGGTGGTGACTGAAGGGGGTGAGGATGCTAGTGCCTGTCTCCAGGGGAGCAAAGCGGCGAAAGGCCAAAAGCCACATTAGCAGTTGTCTGTGCAACAGTTGGGCTGGAGGAACTGGGGGTGAAATGATGATGAGGAGAGTTAAATCTTTCTCACAGAGAAAATCCTTACTGCTCCAAAGCTACTTTAATTTCCTTAAAACAAGGCTGAGGGTTGCTGCTTTCCCACATGCTGCTCATGCTGGAGCAGTCATCCCCAGCTGTATAAGGAAACAGGGCTGGGCGTAGCTCAATAGCTGGGCTGTGCGACTCAGCGAGTAACCCCTTGTTCTACAACCAAATTAAAATCAGATGGCTCATTACATCTCTGAGTGTTAGCTTTCCCGACAGAAATGCTAATGGAAAAGGTTTGCGGAACAAAATCCAGGCGCAATTGAGACATGCTGATGGCAGCCTCAACCTATTGTGCTTATGCATGAACTCTTTTTTTAGTATTTCCTTCTATAGGAAAGAGATGCTGCAGTGCCAGCAAAGAACACTTTCTGGGTTTGTGCTGTGCAAGATTCACTGCTCTAAAATGCGGCTACATTTATCTCCTTTCTCCGAGGTTCTCGCGTCGCACGTGCTGAGATTATTGCTCGAAGGCATTAAATCGGAAAGATCTCGCTCTTTCTTTGTTATATTTGCCCCGTATTTCCTCTCCTTGTGCTAACACATTCTGCGGGGAGTGTGGCCCAACACAGACAGAATGTATTTGGGATAGCTGGTGGTTTTCCTGAAGAGTCGAAGTTGACTCTCAATCAGCTGCTGGACTAGTGGAGGACAGGAGCTGGCAGGTCAGGGAGTGAACTGGGTGGCAGCACGAGCGAGGACAGGGAACATTTGCAGGATGGTGTGCTGTAGCCTGTGCGTACTGTGACACCTTACAGGCTGTTCTGGGAGGTTATTTATAAACTGCGTCACATACTTAGTTACTAGACCCTTTCATGGTGCTTTCTAGACAGCCACCTCAACTGGCGGGGGGATGCAGAGCCGCCAGTTCGGGGGCTGGGAGCGCGTGGGTGTCTGCGGCACTGGCCGGAGAGGTTGTCACAGCCATTCTACTACCAAAACCTTTATTCTCCTTAATGAAAACTGTGACTGCTAAGTGGACCATCTCTTACTTTAAGAGCACTTTCCCCACCAAAAATACAATCTCTGGAGACAGAATAAAAGGGGACAGAGTCAGTGGAGACTCCCATTTTAGGCAGACAGCAGCTAGCTAGCGCCTATCAGTGAAATAACTTGTTTAATAGGTCAAAGAACTAAGCTTTACCAAAACCAAGAGTGTTAAATGCAAACTGCCCTCATCTTCATTCGCCAGAAGAAAGACGAATGACTTTTTAGGTTCAAGATGACAGCTTTCTTCCCCACTTGCACGCTGGGCAAGTGTCATTTACACACGTGGGACATGGCTGTTCAGGCTGCCGTGTGGGGCTGCTAACAGACCACTGCAGTCTGCTCTGAGAAGAGCGTGTGTGTTGAGCTTACCTCTGAGTACACTGCACAAAAATTGGCTCCCCCAGCCAGGTCTTTATTTCATCCAGATGCTGAGCTGGGGTTGGCTGCAGCTTGCCATCGGGCCAGTTTGGCTGCGTAGCTGAGTCTGGGAGTTGCTTATTCTGCGTTCCACTAGAAGTAGAAGTATTTGTTTCAATAATTAGCCAGCAAAGACGTGTTTTCAGTACCATTCCCCGCTTGATAGCAGGAATACAGAGACAAATCCGATTGCTTGGCTTTCTGAAGTGTGCCTTTTGCACTGCTAAAGTGCAGAGGTTGTCTGAAGTGCAGTTCTCGATTTTCAAGAGCGGCACGTTGTAAGACAGAAGTACCTTTATTCAGCACCTTTACCAGAAGCTCCCGATCCCTCTCAAGCATCTACCAGGCTCACCTGAAACAGGAGTGAAGCAGTACCTGCTGCCACTATCTTAGCTTTGCGGCGCAGCGATAGACACACGAGGGTCAGACCTCCCGTCATCTTGGCCCGGGAAGCCAGTCTGATGGCAAGCAAAGGCACCACAAGTTGTGTGCCAGCAAAGGCTGCTCTGCTCGGTCGCCCGATTGCTCCAAACAGCACCGTCACCCGCCCTGTGTCCTTGTTCTGTCACAGAACGCCCAAACGGCGCACTCCTGTCGTCAGTGCAGCACTGACCACCAGACGTTTGTCGTGTCAGCAGGACACGGACCTGTCTGCGCCCTATCCACGAATCTGCGATGCACAGGATTTGAGCCCCGTGCTTTCTCTTCTTACGACGCCCCAAGCCCTGCAAATCCCTTAGAGGCCCTGGGTTGCCCCCGCGCACACCGCCGTGCATCCTGAACAGCCAGGGAGGGTAACTTCTCTTGCACCGCTGCGTTTTTGTCAACACACGGTACATTGTCAGTGACTGTAATACTCCCCAGGAACTACCAGCTACCTGCGGGGTATTACCAGCCTCCCCCATCACTGTCTGAGCTAAGTATGAGGAAGGGCAGTTGCACAGTTGGCTCTGCTGTTTCGAAGCAGTGTCACATTTAGTGGAAGTGAGTGAAGGAAAATAAAACTGTGTGGCTCAGCAGACGGGAGTAATAGAACATCTCACAGGTTGTCCCGCAGCAGTGACCGGGCTCTGCTGGTTGTGGGGAACATGAGCGCCACTTGAGCGATTCCATGAGAGAAGCTGAGCGTCTGTACCAGTGACGAGACGATGTCTGGGATCGTTCACTGAGACATGGAAAGAGAGAAATAATAATTCTAAGGCTCTTTGACTGCCAGAGCAAGAAGACAGCGTGTGCTGAGAGCGAGCAAATGGGTCTGGGGTCACTGCTAGCTCAGAACCCAGACAGTCAGTATTCTGTACAAAATTAAACTTGGAGCCAAGCTTGGGATGGCATTTCGGGGGGTGAACCAGGTGTGTCCTTACCCAGTGGTATCTCCTAATGGAGACCTTTGGGGAACTAGCACTGCTGAGGTGAGAAGCCAACGAGCCACCCTCTTGCTGTTCTGGGCAGGTCTCCTTTTTTCACTAGAATTCAGGCAGGAGTCACGTGAGGGCCAGGGACATCCTTGAGCCTTCCTGGCTTAAGAGAGAATCTGAAGACCGTTCTCAGGATAAAGACCTGAAACCTTGGAGTTTTTGGTATGTGATTCAGAGTGGATCCATATGAGCTATTTGTCTGGAATACTCTTTTCCTTGAGGCAACATAAACTGTAGACCCGCTCCAGATTTAGGAGAAGTTGGCCAGAAGGGTAGCTGCTGAAGCGTGGGGAAGAGGAGGGAAGAGTGGGCTGAAAGCAACAGCTACAACAGGAGGGAAATCTCTTGGTCAGTGGGTTGGCAGAGAATTGTCTGATCGTGGCTGGTAGTTGAGAAGAAGCGAACTCTGCCTCGGCTACTGCAGAGGCAGAAATAACTCCAGTCTTAATGACGACGTTATGAATCGTCACATAGACCCCAAATCAAAGGAAAGGCCTGCTTTTCTCCAGCAGTTAAATCCAGCATGCTGACGCCTCAGCAGAATGCATTCCCAACTGTAAATTCAGGACTACCATTGAAAGTGATACGATAGTATTTTATTGATCTTAAATCTTTAGATTGCTTATATGTTCTGTTTAATAAGGTACCTAAGGGTTGTATAAGGTACTCCTGCACTGCAAAGACCCTGCTGGATTCAGCGGGAGATGCGAGTGCGTTTGCTGAGAACATGCCGCCGACGCCAAAACGCGACCTGGCCTCATCTTACACCTGCACAGCTTCTGTCTGCAGAGGGCTGGCTGCCAGTAACTCTGGCCACTGGGTCTGGCTCTTACCAAGATCCAAACACAAGCTACTTCGTTTTTAAAAATATGACCCAAATCTTCCGAGCCCATTTTCAAGCAGTGCAGGGCGCAGGAGTCAGCCTGTCCGCGCTCGCTGGATGGCGCCGTGCGGCACTTCCGCAGTGGCCTGGCCACTCTCTGGCTTGGCTTCTGCTGCGGATCAGGGCTCATGTTCCGTGGACCTGTGTGGCTGAAGTATTTCAGAGTTAAGCTAGTTACAGTGATACGGATGTGTCAGGAAGGTCAGAGTTCTGAAATCCAAAGGGTCATGCTACCAGACTGCGCATGCTGTAGAAGTACTAACCCCTCAGTGGACTCTTGGCAGTTCAGTAACAGTAATGACAGAGCTGTAACATGCTGGCCACTGCCAAAAATAATCCAACAACTTTTCCGACTGTTCTGTCACCCTAAGAAAACACTGCTTCAGTTCCAACTGGCTGGGCTTTAACCACAGTAGAGTTTATTTTCATCAGGGCTTTTTTTTAAGTTCTTTTACTGTCATCTTCCCGGATTCCCGGCTGTGGTGGAATCCAGTAAATGATGCCGTGTTATTCAAAGGATGCTGAAGACAGCATCTAGGTACTATTCCTCTCTACCTACCATTCCCAGAGATGAGTATCATATCATGCTGAAATAGGTATTCACAGACCTGGGGGGTCTGGAAGCTATGGCTCAGTCCCAGCACATGCAGCAGGAGCAACGGCACTTTGCAAGCACACGAAACGCTGTTTGCATGTGGAGGCTCCAGAGGAGTTGAGGGGAACCATCCTGGCCAACTGGTCCGAGGGCTGCCTGAGACAGTGATTGAATGCAGGTTGGGAGTCTCCCTATCTCCTTGCTTATCTGGCAGTCACACAGTAAAGACGCCCCTAGTAAGGGCTGAACAGTCTAAAAGCAGCGTCGCAAGGGGATTCATGTCAGGGTGGGGCAATGGATCGTATCGCAACGCAAGTGGTTCTGTGTCTTGAAAACGGCTCTGCCTGCAGGCACCTGCAAGCGAAACAAGTGCCAAGCAAAACAGGCATACACAGGGAATTGCCGTTGTTTTAAAGCGTTGTCCCACTGAATCTGGGGAAGGACAGAGGAAAAGGGGGTGCTGCCTGGAAACATTCAGAACTGAAAATTTAGTGAATTTACTGAAAAAAAAAAAGCTGTTTATAGCTTTGACACTTCTCTGTGAAAACTGCCGTTGAATTTTGGCAGCTCTGGTTTTGCTAGAGTATGGAAATACAGCTCTTTTAAATCTGGAAGCACTGGTAAAGGATCATTACAGTGGAGAGCAGAAAGTGCATTCTGGTGAGGTAGTTCCATTTCATGACTACTGCTTGTGTAACTGGAAATACAGCATGGAATGTTGGCCTCCAGGGCATCCCCCTCGCTCTGTGTCCACGACACCGCTCATGCAGCTTCTCACTTCAGGAATGTTGATGTTTCATCTTAAAGTTTCTGCAGGCGAGCGGATGGGACATAGCTGTGGCGCTGCTCCAGCAGAGCAGCGGTGGTGATGTTCACCCGGCACGGACTCCTCCCAGCTCGGCCAGAACAGTGCAGAAACACTTCTTCTGCACATCTGTCACAAGCCTAGTGTTTTAAAGAGCTTTCCAGGGGTTGTATTCTAAACACAAGGGACTGGACTTAACCAGCACAGAAGGGTCCTTTCCAGTTGGGTGTTCTTCTAAAATCAGCTGTTTGCACAAAACAGTGTTATATAGACTTGATGGTAACTGGCAAGGCATCCACGCCGTGTTTTGCTTCACTGCAGGGTATTTTGCCATTTGTGTTGAAAGTGGATTGATTTGGGTCTTTCATTGACTCGGTAGGAAACGCAGGGGGAGACAGATGAAAACCTGCTGCGTGAAGTGTACTTGAAGCCCCTCTAATTACATGTCACAAAGTTCATTTCAGAAGGTTCGTGTCCTCTAATGTTTCTTACTCCTGGTTACGTTCGACCATGACATCAGGAACAACAGACAGCTTTCCAGTAGGAAAATTTGCTCTAGGTCTTATAAGAACTTCCCAGTATCCATCAGTCCCAGGGTATTCAGAGCACTGAGAAGAATCATCCTTGAGATTAAGAACAGTTTCTTTTTCCTCTCATACCTATGGAATGAACAGAAACAGCTGCCTGCTTCTTTGCTGCCAATGTAGTGCAGTCAGGATACATTCAGGGCTTAAGGAACACGAATTCTAGTCTTGTAGTTTCCAGCCGGAATTCTAGTCTAGCTGGGCTGCCTTGTTTGAACTACAGACCTTGTCAAGAATGGGGCATCCAGCTTTTTTTGCAGGATCAACAACAATGCTGTTCTTTCGTGCAGCGTGGTACCTCTAGAACAATCACTGTGAGGTGAAGCAAAAGGGTTTTGTCATGACTAGGAACAATACAGGTTTTAGCCACGCGTGTATACGAATCTTCCCTGGGCCAGCTGGCGGCGAGCCGGCACTCGGACAGCCACGGCCTGTACCTGTGCTGACGCCGGGAGGGACTCCTACTGCCAAGCCCCTCTCCTCCCCGAGGGCAAATCCCTACCTCGCACTGCCTCTTACTCAGGGGAGTTGTTCCTTCCAGCGTTGGTGTGTTGCCTGAGGCCCCCACATGCTGGAAGGTGAAGAAAGGGTTTCAGTCCTCGGGAGTCAGACAGCACTGGGGCAGAACATGCTCTCCTGAGGCCGATGGGGGCGATCGCTTTCAGTCACACCTCGCTTCAGCAGGGAACAAACACTTCTATGGTTTTGTTAACTTGCACGTGATTTAGATGCAGCTGTCACACTTGTCCGGTTCAACAAGTTCGAGTTTTTACGGAACGATGGCTCACTTCCCACTCAGAAACACACA